ACTTCACCAAGCTTCAGCATTAAAATGCTGCTTATGTTAGTGCAACAAAAGTAATAATCCATTGCATCCATAGTGCATAACATTGTTCCACTGCAAGGGTGTAGGTTTCAACATTGGGGGGGCCACATATGAAACAGGGGGTTTGGGAGTCCTCTGCTAGGTAATTTTGAGCACCACACATAATATCCTGCATTCTGGTGAATATTTATGCACTAATTTGTGACTTTTTTTGCATCACTTTATGGTGTACATGTCTTTAATTTTGTCAATATCAATATCAGTGATTGTTATTATTACTTTTTTCTTCCAATAAAAGAATCGACTTATCATTGCAGCTCTTTATACGTAGTGTCAATAAGGTAAAAGACTATTGTTAAAAATTCAATTTCACCATTTCATGCCATAGGTTGCAAATTTTTGGGGGTCATTTATTTGACTTTAAGAAGGAGTTTCCCTCTGCCCCTTTAACCGCATGATTTGGGTGGTTGAGCCAGGTAGAGTGAAGGATAGGTATGAGGCTCAGGTCATCTCTCTGTCCACATTACTAAGAAAATTGCTGCTTCAACTTTGGAAAGCTGAGAAGCTTCCAACATTTGACATGTGGCTGAAGGAATTAGATCACGTTTTACATTTAGAGAAAATTAGATTCACCCTGTAAGAAAACCTGGCAGAAGAATTAAAGTGAATGGGTCATGGTTTAACTGGAAACTGTACCATGATGTCATGTGTCAGTACCCTGTAATGTGTAATCTTTTTTTCTCATTTTTGTCTGGCCACCAATGCTCCATTTTTGTTTCGTTTTTTCTTTTGCTGTTGGTATGTTTCTTTACTGCACTTACACTGTTCCGCAAAAACCAATAAACAGGCGTTTAAAAAAATGAAATATAAGTTGTGGTAAACCTTCTGTGGAGCAACACAGACACACTCGTCCTCACATTAACTCTTTTTGTCCGGGGATATTTGCAGCAGCAGCAGCCTGGCGCACATCCCTCACCTGCCTCAGCTCCTCTCCTCCGACTCTGCGCTGCTCACATCCTGTCTGAGAGGGAGAGGCGAAGGAGGAAGAGAATCAACAGAAACGACTCCAGAGCCAAGTTTGGCCAACCTTTACGCACACTTCTTACTTTGAAAGACTTATTTCCCTGTCCATTTTCCACGGGCTGATGGTATTTTTTATGAAGCCCATGGGAGCTGAAATGGAGGTGCGCCTGGGGCTGATTTTTTTAACACTATTCTCATGGATTTTTCTTGGCACCTTAATTTAAAACACACCTAAGACTTTAGTTTTCAAGTTATAGCCTGAAGCGTCATTGGAGGCGTTTGGCGCACGGACGTCAATCCAGTGCCAAGTAGCTGAACAGGAGAAAGAACTTCTCCGCATGAAGCGTTGGATTAATGTGAACTAAAAACAAGTCGTTACTAAGAATATAATCTGGATTCCGTGATGTGTATTTGAGAAGTTTCCCCGATCCGAATTGATTTCGTTCGGACAAGGGGAGACTTTAATGGATTTTTTATGTGGGACCCGCTAGGATGGACGTGGTAGATGAAACAGAAGCGTTACAGAGATTTTTTGAAGGTAAGAATATCTTATTATGATATTTATATATCAATACAGCTCATAGTTAAAAGTCATTGTACAGAAAATTAATAATATATCGGTTATTTACCACTTTGACTTCTAAATAATTTATTTATTTATTATTAGTGAAGGAAACTAAATATGTTTAAGTGCTTTTGTCAAATTTAGTTTCACCAGGTGTACTGCATAGTTTAACTTAAGTGGTTTAACTGTTCTGACGCACCACACATGGCAGGTGGTTTACATCACAATAATAATAGCTGTAATATTTGCAAGATATCATATAGTTTGGGGTTTTAAAAGTTTCCCAAACATATTGTGCACTGCACTCTGTTTTGCCACTTAAATTTTTCCACTTGGCTGTTCATCTCAAAAACCGAAAAATGCAAGAAGGCAGGAGGTGTGGGGAGCAAAAGTGGCTGTGATGGGTAACAGATCGAGTTAAACGGGGAATCCTAGGAAAAAACGAGGTGGAGGAGGGTGGAGTTGAGGGTTGGAAGGGTGTAGGAATTCAAGGCAAGATAAATGGTGTGTTTTGCAAGGGTGCTGTGGCACAACAGAGACATGAGAGATGTGATTTTAACCAGTGGTGTTGCTCATCAGAACGCAAACAACCATAAATAGAAGCAAAATCAGTTCAGAAAAGCTGTAATTTATGTTTATCCCCATATAATGAGTTTGATAAAGATACATCATTATATGCTATGACTTAAAATTATTGAAATTTTATTGTAGTGAACTTTTTCAACATACAAAAAGATTCTGTTGGTTCATCCCTAATTTAGTACATCCCTTTTTAGTACGTCTTAGCTGTGTGTTGATTTGAAGCTTGAAGATCTTAACTGTATTGCAATCAATTATTCAGTCACAGTTTTGGAATATTCATGACTTTATTCTATCCATTATATTCCTGCAGTACATTACATATTTCACAGGCAGCACTTAAATTTTGTCACATTTGTTTTCAGAGTTTTTCCCTGCACTCTGTGATTTACAGCTTGCCATAAGTCACATCTTACAAGTAGTCGTTTGTGTTTTTTTCAAGAAACTTAATGTCAAATGTGCTAGAAGTCAAGTGCACATAAAACACATAGCGTGGCTTATGTATAATAAGTTATCTGCAGAGAGACTTAACACTTGATTATAGTATACACAGAGTGTTGACTTAAATATACACAGCCATCCATGACTGTCAGAGGTTCCTTGCCACTCTGACAGGAATTTAATGTGTTTACATTCTTGCTTTGGGAGTAAGAGAGATGTTCTTACTTTGGCTTTATTTCAGCCACTTTTGCTTGGACTAAAATGTCAACTTGTCCATGAGAAGTTTACAGTAGGTGCTGTCTTAGATACTTATTTTCCTATTTAACTTGTTGTTTTTGTTAATGATATCAAACTCCTAATTATATCAGTCTCAGATTTTGGGCTCAGGCCTTTTGGTAATCAAACTCTGTGACAAAAACTAACACTATTAAGCCTTTATTTGATGTATTAGATAATTAGTATCTGTGTCCATGTTGCCCTTTATCTGAAAGAGACACACACTCACACAGAAGCGCGCACACACAGCACTATAATGGATTTCGGCAGTGGTAAACTGTGTTTTAATAGGATTAGTGATATATGTATACATTCACACTAATGCACAGTGTACATTCCTGGCATAGCCCCGGTGGCTGTTAAAACACAATGAGGTGAGACTGGTGTTTCTCCTCGAGTATTTGGCCTTCCCCAGGCACCCGCTCGCTCTCTCCAACTCCATTAAAGTGACAGTGAGCAGACAGGGTGAGGAGGTGAGATAGTGCAGACTCAGGGTGGAGAGAGACTGGCCTGTTGAGAGAAACAAGGTTAAACCACCAACCTCCCCAAAACTTGACCTTCTCGTCTCTGAGTCACTTTGACAACAAATAGTCGCTCATGTTGGCGCATAAAAGGATCTTGACATTTATTGCTGTTGTGTTGTGTTGCTCCAGGTAATGCCCCATCCTAAGTCAACCAAACACTTGATTAAACGGTGACCCATAAATGACTGAAATGTTTTGGAGATAACCTCAGCAGCAACATAGGTTTTGCCACTGCGGTAAATTTGGATTGAGCAGACATCAGCCTACATGTATATAAACTAGAAAATATGTCTACAGCCATGGTAGCAGCTCAGTTAAGGCCCAGACGCACCAAACATCAAAGAACTAGTGGTGATGAAGGTCAACTGTTGCATCTTCTCACGTCGTCTTTGTCTAGGCCAAAAAGTTGCACTTGAACACACCGCAAAGACTAAAGCCAACAGCCAACTGGCATGTATGTTCTGCACCTGTGTGAAAGGAAATAATGCTCCATACCAGCAGGCGGCTGGGAAACCAGAAGACTGACAGAAAGGATTCAGGATTCATTAGCCAGTTAGCACTTTAACAACATTAACAACACGATGAGATGTTGAAAGAACAAGTTATAATTACCCTGTGCTGGCAAACAATAACACAAACAAGTAAGAAATGTTTCTGCTCAAGAGCTCAGTGGCTAAAAAAAGTCTGAACTATAATCTTAATTCATAGAACAAGTTTGCTTCACTCTCACGGCCTCTTAATTTAGTCATTTGTTTACTTTCCTCACTTCTATTTATCGTCTTGTGCACTGAGCTGAATTGCCAATCAGAGTGATTATTCTCACCAGATTCAACATGCTGAATTCCACCCCCCCCCCTCAACCATGCGACTACTGCCAACGTTGTGGGAGACACCGCAAAAAGTAGGGCTACAGATGCTAACCGACGGCCCGACATTGACGAACAACTAAGAGTCAGCTTGGTGTGTCAGGGCCCCAAGGCTGCACTTATGGCCCTGATACACCAAACCAACATCAAACAACAAGTGGTGACAAAGGCCAACTATTGCGTCACCTCTCGTCTCCTTTGTCTCGGCCAAAAAGTTGCACTCAAACAAATCACAAAGACTAACAATAGACTTAAACTAGACATTAGACTACATGAATATAAACTAGAAAAAGCATCTTCAGCCATGGTAGCAACTCAGTAAAGGCCCAGACACACCAAACTGAAAGAACTAGTGGTGATGAAGGTCGACTGTTCATCTTCTCAAGACACCTTTGACTGGGCCAAAAAGTCTAAAGACTAAAGGCCAACCATGAAGTACAGTCTGCGCCTGTGTGAGAGGAAATTAGTCTCAGTACCAGCAGGTGTCTGTAGTCTGCATTTGACATTTAATACGGTAAAATGGAAGACCAACAGGGCAGATTTAAGATGCTAGTTAGCCAGTTAGCGCATCAGCAACACAACCTGATGTTGAAAGAAAAAATGATATTTATTGAGTGCTAGCAAACAACAACAACAACACAAACAATTACAAACTGTTTCTACAAAAGAGCACAATGTCTTAAAAAAAAAGTACCTACAGTGACTCGCTCTCACACCCTCTTTATTTTAGTTGTTTGTTTTCCTCACTTCCGTTTCTCTTCTTGTGAGCTGAACTGAACTGTAAATCAGAGTGATTTCCTTCAACGACGAACTCCCCTGTCTTTGATGCCAATTCAACATGGTGAAAGCCGACGAGACCAGGCTAGTGCCAATGGTGTGGGACAAAGAGAAAAAACTAGGGCGACAGGCACTCACTGACGGTGCGACGGCTGACCGTCAGCTTGGTGTGTCAGGGGTAAAGGCTGTACTGACACAGCTAATGTGGCTCAAAACCCTTCAATCAGAACTGTACTTGTTTAGTGGGAAGATACTGTCCTTGAATTGTATCTAAAAGAAACAAAACTTTGAGCATATTCTCCCCCTAACCGTCTGAGTCAGAAGGCGAATTAATCACATTCTTACTCCATATTGCCCTTAAAAGATGAACAGCTCATCACATGTTCCTCTAAATCAAAATTCCCATTAAGCCTGCTGCACTCCCACAGTAGTTGTGAATCATGGATGGGGAAGGCCGTCGTCCATCTTGGAAAACCTGTGTGAAACAGCAAAGTTTGGACGGTTCCTCTGATTTACAGGTTCAGCGGTGAATTGCAGTGAGAGGAATGTATTGTTTTTGAGCAGCCAGGCTTACAGTGCTTTATGAGTAGGTTTTATTTTTCATTGTTGTGGCTCACTCCCAGTGCCGACTGCCAACTGAGTAATCCTCAGCCGCTGAATGCTGTTTGTGGTTGAACTGGACTTCAAGAGATTAATTCACTTTTTTGTGTTCATGTGTGTGTGATGACTTAAAGAGAGGCTGCTTTGGAAAAATTTGGACTGCAGTATAAGAGTTTAAGGGGATGTATGGCTGCATCCTTAATGTCATCCTATATTAGTTTTTGTCACAAAAGCATGTAACCAAAGTACAGCCATGATGATTGCAGGTGTTTAGAGAGCTGCTGGGTCTAAAATTCAGTAGTTAAAAACAAAAAAACACAGTTTTTGTTCTCTTCTGAGGTGGTGGTTCTGAACATTATCAGTCTAATAAGCCAATTTCTCCTCCCTTTCTTTTTCATGTTATACTACATCTCCCGTCTTGAGTTCTTCTTTCTTTATACCTTCCTCTTCTTTTTCCTTCTTGACGTCTTCTTCATCTTCTTCCATCATCTGCTCTATCAAGTGCTGGCCCTCAAACTCTACCTGACATTTGCAGCGTTTCGTTTTTTTTTTTTTTTCCCTCCAGCCTCGCTCCGTGTCCCGGTCCCAGCCTTGTCATTCCTGTAATCTCCTGAGCCAGGTCCGCCGGTGCGACCAGTGCTTGTGTGCGACAAGGGCTGTGTGTGGTAGCCTGGTACAGCCCTTTCTCATGACTGGAGAATAATCCTCATTATAACACTCACCGAGCCTTTCTCACACACACACACGCACACATATGCTTTTGCACATAGGCATGCACGCGCAGACACACACACACACACACACACACACACACACACACACACACACTCACACACACATTTGTTACCCTGATCTGCAACTCTCGGGTCTACAGAAGAAAGTCTTTCGGCCCGAGTAGGGAAACATGTGA